CCCCCCCCCCAGGTTGCTGTATCCTACCCGCTGATAACTGGCCATACCGACCTACATCAATGGGCCGGATTCTCCCTACGGCAAGCTGTGATTATTGATTTTACATGTTTTAAATGTTATTGTATTTATTGAAATGTTGTAACCAATGCTCCCTCTAAGCTGTGGAGTCTTGTGAGCAAAAATTCTACTTTGTGAGCTACTCTGGCATTAAAGCTGTGAACGAGTGATTTGGCTACTGCATAAATTAGTTTGCTCCAGAGCCATCCTTCCTGAGCTAAGACAAAAATGTGTGAGCCGGAGGCTAAAAAACTGTGAGCTAGCTCACACTCACTCAGCTTAGAGGGAACACTGGTTGTAACCAATGTTCCCTCTAAGCTGTGGAGTCTTGTGAGCAAAAATTCTGCTTTGTGAGCTACTGGCATTAAAGTTGTGAGCGAGCAATCTAGCTGCTGCATAAGTTAGTTTGCTCTGGAGCCATCCATCCTAAGCCAAAAAAGTATGAGCCAGAGGCTACAAAACTGTGAGCTAGCTCACACTCACTCAGCTTAGAGGGAACACTGGTTGTAACCAATGTTCCCTCTAAGCTGTGGAGTCTTGTGAGCAAAAATTCTGCTTTGTGAGCTACTGGCATTAAAGTTGTGAGCGAGCAATCTAGCTGCTGCATAAGTTAGTTTGCTCTGGAGCCCTCCCTCCTGAGCTGAGACAGAAATGGGTGAGCCGGAGGCTAAAAAACTGTGAGCTAGCTCACACTCACTCAGCTTAGAGGGAACACTGGTTGTAACCAATGTTCCCTCTAAGCTGTGGAGTCTTGTGAGCAAAAATTCTGCTTTGTGAGCTACTGGCATTAAAGTTGTGAGCGAGCAATCTAGCTGCTGCATAAGTTAGTTTGCTCTGGAGCCATCCATCCTAAGCCAAAAAAGTATGAGCCAGAGGCTACAAAACTGTGAGCTAGCTCACACTCACTCAGCTTAGAGGGAACACTGGTTGTAACCAATGTTCCCTCTAAGCTGTGGAGTCTTGTGAGCAAAAATTCTGCTTTGTGAGCTACTGGCATTAAAGTTGTGAGCGAGCAATCTAGCTGCTGCATAAGTTAGTTTGCTCTGGAGCCATCCATCCTAAGCCAAAAAAGTATGAGCCAGAGGCTACAAAACTGTGAGCTAGCTCACACTCACTCAGCTTAGAGGGAACACTGGTTGTAACCCACCCTGAGCCCTGTTTACGGGATGGGCGGGCTATAAATGCGAAAAATGAATGAATGAATGAATTTGGTGGATATTGAGTGTTTTAAAATAATCAGATATATTACAACCGAATTCTCAGCTTTCCCCTGTAGCATGTGACGAGATTAATCAAGGGACCTAATTCTGAACATGGCCCCAGAATGCAGATTTTAAAAACCCGCAAAATGTGGCATGTACAAACAGAGAACTTTTCGGCAAACCTGGGGGAAGTCCTCACCTTGCAGAACAATCTCAGGAAAGGGGGGGAAAGTGAACAGTTTTGTGAAACCACAGCAGTTCAGTGTGTTGCCATTTTGAGGGCTGCCCGGCCATTTCCCAAGCCTTGCTGAAGGTGAGCACAGCTGCTGTCAGGAGACGTGAACGAGGAAGCGTAAGTGAGGAAGGCAGCGAGAGGAGACTGTGAAGGGAAACTGAGGTGGCCGCAGAGGCAGCGACTCAGAGAGTGAGCCGGAGAGAGGCAGCAGGTGAGCCAGTGAGGAAAAGAGAGGAGATAAAGGAGGAAGTGGTGAGCGAGCCAGCAAGGGAGAGAGGGAGGCAGCAAAGGAAGGAAGACGCCAGCAAACCAGGAGAGGGGCAGCAGCGATGAAAGGGGGAGTGTGAAGGGAGAGGGTGGGACATGAATGGGGGGAGGGCAAAACAGCAGGAGAAGGGAGGGGGGACCAGCAAGAGCAGGTAGGATTTCCTCTCCACTATGAGTTTCTTGCAGGTCTCCGCTTGTACCATACTAAATATATCCCAAAGGTAGCATAAAAGATAAAGGTTCCCTTGCTCGAAAGCCAGTCGAGTCCGACTCTAGGGTTGCGGTGCTCATCTCCGTTTCCAAGCCGAAGAGCCAGCGCTGTCCGAAGATGTTTCCGTGGTCATGTGGCCGGCATGACTAAACACCAAGGCACACGGAACTTCTTTCTATCCTTCAATAAATCCGTGCTCCCCCCCCCCACTTCCTTGCATCTTAGGGAGTATGGGCTTGTCTCTCTCGTGGGTATTAATTTATTTTTATTTATTTCATTAGCCTCCTTTCTACCTTGCTGAACTTAAGGCAAGTTACAATATAAATAAATCAGTTATTAAAAACAGGACAAAATACCACAATTAAAAATCTCAGTACTGACCTATTTAGGTCTACTATGTGGCACAACCCATATACAGAGAAAGACTTTGAGAAAGTTGCAATCCTCCTTGTAAAAAGGTAAAGGTTCCCTTGATCGAAAGCCAGTCGAATCCGACTCTAGGGATGCGGTGCTCATCTCCGTTTCAAAGCCGAAGAGCCAGCGCTGTCCGAAGACGTTTCCATGGTCATGTGGCCGGCATGTCTAAACACCAAGGCGCACGGAACGCTGTTCCCTTCCCACTGAAGTGGTCCCTATTTATCTACTTGCCATTTCTCGCTTTCGAACTGCTAGGTTGGCAGGAGCTGGAACTAGAGACGGGAGCTCACTCCGTCATGCGGCACACTCGGGTCTCGAACTGCTGAACGACCGACCTTCCACAGCCTGCAGTTCAGCGTCTTAACCACTTGAGCCACCGCAGCTCCAAAAGTAGCATAACTGAAGATAAAGCACTCAGGGCTCTATCAGCAAAGGGGGACAGAGAAAAACAGCTGAGAAGTTATTCTGAATACATATAGGAAGTCACTTTATACTCCGTCGGACCATTTGTCTACCCAGGTCACTGCTGTATGCTCTGACCGGCAGCAGCTTTCCAGGATATGAAACGATTTCTGTGTCGCCCACTGCATGATCCTTTCGACCAAAGATGCTGGGGACTGAACCTGAGACCTCCGGCATGCAAAGCAGATGCTCTTCCACTAAGCCAGAGCCCCTCTCTTATTGTATCGGCAATCTCTATACAGACCAGGAGAAGCAACAGACATCTTACCTGCTTAGAATCAATGGGAGCTGCGGGGGACTCTAGTTCTATGGTCACGGGCCCGTCGTTCTGGATATGGACCTGCATGTGGGCACCAAATTTGCCATCTGAAAAGAAGAAAGGGGGGGGGGGGGGGGGGGCTCTCTCTCTCAGTCCTAACCTGCCGCCGTGGAAAATACAAGTCGTCCACAGCGGGGAAGGAGGGAGGGATGTGTGCCAGCACAGAAGACACTCGATGAACATCAGTTACAGGTAAGTGCAACCATGTTTTCATCTTCGTGTCTTCTGTGCAGTCCTACATGGGAGTCTAGCAAGCTACACAAGACTCGGAGGCGGGTGTGGGCGAACAGTCTATTTCAGTAACGATTGTAACACTGCTGCACCCACAGATGCGTCAGCTTTAGAATCAACATCGATTGAATAGTGTTGAATGAAAGTCTAAGACGAAGACCAAGTAGCTGCTTTACATATGTGAGAAATATTGATAGACGCCGCGAAGGCAGTCGAGGTAGTTTGTGCCCTCGTAGAGTGGGCTCGGACTGGAAAGGGACAGGGGAGACCTGCAGAGGCATAACTGCTATGAATGGCTGAAACAATCCATCTG